TAAAAAAATGGTTTATGAGAACTTAGTTATGATTATTTACTATGTCTTTAAAATAATTCCATGAACTTATTCGTAAAAATATTGCGGTGTCATGAAGAAATGTAATTAATGCGAGCCAATTTTGTAATATTTTTTTATCGAGAAAATTACGTGATATCGTGTTTTCCTTGTATGCAATCCAAGGCCATATAGTTAAAAATGATATACCAAAATTTTGGTTTGTAATCTATAAAACATAAAAAAAATGTGAAATAGAACAACCACCTTTTCGAGGTTAACCTTAATAGGTTGTCATTATTAAATGAATGAATGAATTTATAAATATTAGGTATAGTAATTCTGTTTTTTTTTAAATATATCTTACGAGTAGTTGCCGGAAGTCGTACTTTGTATATATTTTCCGTGAATAGCTAACTGTAATGGACGACACACACGGTCAAGTTCAACTGATCATTCCAACTGATCAGTTCGAACTAGAATTGTTGATATTTTTTAAAATATCGGATTTTAAATATATCTATAATTATAAATATATCAATATCGGAGTTTTATAGATAACTTTATTTATCGATATGCCGAAAATTCGGTATTTTAAAAAATATCAACAGTCCTAGTTTAAACTGATAATTTGGAATGATCAGTTGAACTGACCGTGTGTGTCGTCCATAATGTTTGTGCCCAGCGTACAGAATTAAAATAATTGAGGTTGAGGCAAAAGCGTGGAAAAATATAAGCTAAAGTCAAGAATTCATAAAATTTCATAATTTAAATGATTTTGTCTCACAACATCTCTCTCATTTCGAATGTATGCTTTTTTACAACTACCTATCTCTGTCGACAAATAACGTGTGCGAACTGCTGTGTTCCAGTCAGTAGTAATGTATATAGATTTTAGTATGTATTCGGAAAAGGCATTTCATCTTAGTCCTCAAATGTGACAATACATCTGTAACTTTCTTTGTTTGAAGTTGATGGCAGGTATCCATTGGCCGCACTACCACTTACCATCAGGTGAACTGTATCATTTGTCATTTCAAATTTACAAAAAAAAAAAAAAATCTGCGTATAAAGAGATTGTTGATTGCACGGCAATTTGTTACCGTTCATTACGCTGATGCAGAATTCCGTCTGAAATAGCTTCATTAATCCCTACCTCTTTAACGCTGAATTTCGTTTAACCACGATCTTGCACGATTGATTGCTCCCTATGGTCCCTTTACATTCTTTTCTTGTAGTTTGTTTAAGCCAGTTTATTCTTATAAAAATATCATGTTGCAATATTGGAGTAGACACTTTTTATGCTACTCGATATATTTTTTTTATTTTTTCAATATCGTAGAGTATTTAAAAATATATAGATAATGAAAATTAATTAGCTAACATTGGCGTAAAAAATAAAATGATTTCAGAAAATAAAACAAAGTAAGTAATTACTTACACATAAATAATTAGTATTTGTAAAAGTGTGTAAAGTTGATCAGTAAATTAACCAAGTTTTCATTCTACAATCATCTACGATAATAATAGAAAACTATAATCACGAACACTAACAGTAAACTATAAAATAAAATGGAAATAACATAATATTAATCTCCAGTGAACGCAATACGAGTATGTTTTGTTTGCGTTCATATTTTAACGTGTATGACTTTTATTGTAACCATTAAATTTAAATAAAATAAAATAAATTTAAGGAAAATATCTACTGAAAAAACCTTGGTTTTTCAGTAGATATTTTCCGAATCAGTGGTAAATAAAGAAAATGACTCTATGTTACTACTCAACTACGAGTATATCTATCAGAGAGAATCGAAGCCATAGTATTTTTCTTGCATTCCCCAGGTTAGGTTTTTGTTACTACACTCACTCAACGAAACGGTGTGCTGGATTGCCGTTACACTACAACTCAATATTTATATTAATTGAATATAAAACATTTTATTCTATTCAGAGCTCTCAAAAAATGCTCGACAGATGACACAGGGGCCTTTAAAATTCAGTTTGGCCTACTAGAGTCAAAGTTCATATTTTCTAGTGATTTTATTGATTTTTAGCGTCTCAAAGTCATCAATTTGTTAGTGTTACTAATATTATAATAATAATAATAAGGTTTATTTATTAAGGTATCAACCCACATTTGTTAAGTACTTTTTGCGTCAAAGACAATGAATTAGAGTATTATACACATACAAAATTATAAATTAAACTCTATTACGTGTTAAAATATAGTACTTTAAAACAATTTTTTTCATCACCTATAGCGTCTGATGCATACCCTGCCAGTGTTTATAAAATATATTGTCAGGAGACACCTGAGCAACGACCTTAACTAATTCATTTGTTGAGTTACGTACAGTTTCCCAGAAACTGGCCGTTCTACAACGTAACACTGCGTAAAAGTCTGGGACGGCAGCCTCTGCGAACATTGTGGACGCACTGCAGTACCGTGGATGTTTCAAAAAAATACGAAAAGCATCATTATACTGTACTCTTAGGATGTTATAGGATTTTTTGGTGTAATTTATCCAGAGTTGTCCGGTGTAAAAGCTTTGAACAGAGTAATCTTAACATCCACAGAACACGAGGCAAAGTGACGCGCCAGCATGTTACAACGTATAACTAGAGCTCTACGTTCACGCTCAATATCCAAGTCGTCACTCAGGTTCTCCGACAACATATGACCCAAATACCTGAAATTCTTCACAGTCCGTACCTGCATACCATTTATGCTTACTGGCGGTACTCTCCTCGGACCCTTTCCAGCACGAAAGACTAGCATTTCAGTCTTAGACTCATTATATTTTAATCCATGCTGACGAGCATAATTTTCGCAGATGAATATAAGCTTTCTAAGACCGTTGATCGATGGGCTAAGGAGCACCATATCGTCTGCGTAGCTAAGGTTGTTAAACGCTACACCATTAATGTGACATCCAATTTTGGTACTCCTAAGCTCCTCGATCAAGCCGTTAACGTAAAGATTGAAAAGGTCCGGAGAGGTCAGCCCTCCCTGACGTACCCCACATTCTAGTTTATAGCCTGTAGAAGTTGTGTCGTCCCACTTAACTTTATTTGTCTGGTTCTCATACCAGTATCTCAGCAAACCCAGAACAGTGCCAGGTACATTGGACTCATGCATTTTCCTCCATAATATATTATAATTAACAAGGTCAAATACACGACTCAAGTCCAGAAAGCAGGCGTAAACAAATGTACTACGTCTTTTATAATAGTTTACAACGTGCTTAACGGACAGTATTGCAGAGTCGGCAGAAACACCGGCACGAAAACCAAACTGAGCATCACTTATCCTAATATTTTTCACAAGTTCGGGCTGTAGAAGTTTTTCAAGTACTTTACCAACTATTGTGCCCAGAGAGATAGGGCGGTAATTGGAGATATTAGAGAAGTGAGCGGTTTTGTTCTAAACGACTGGTACAACAATCGTCTGTAACATTTTATCAGGCAGATATGTATGTTTAATACATAGGTTAAAAAGTAATGCTAGAGAATCAAATAGTTTATCACTGGCATAGAGAAGGTGCTCAACACTCAAGCCATCGTGGCCCGGAGACTTTCCTCGCTTCATATTATGAACTACTTTTATGATATCACTAGTAGACAAGGACAAAACCTCAGCGTTGGAGATTGTCGACTGAGCATGGGGAATACTCTCCACGTGCATTGGTTTAGTTGAAAAATGATTAGCAAACATGTTAGCTATGTCCTTTTTGTCGTTAATCTCATTCACGCTAACTGGCAAGCTACTACGTATGTTGCAGGCTTTTGTTGCTTTCCAAAATTTTGAAATTTTTTTATTTGCTCTATGAGTGGCAAGTATGTTCATTCTTATCATCTCTTGATTATTTTGGCACCATTTTAATTTATTTTTAAAAGCCCTACGCGTCGTTGTCATATCGTCATAAATTTTTCCGTTAAACGGTTATTATTATTTATAACAATTGCAAAAATTCGTAGCATGTATATTTTTTTAGAAAATCCAAAGGTATGCAGGTTTCCTGGGACATGCGGCCAACAAATTGTTCCCTATGTGTTGAGGAGATAAGTCATTTTTATTTCTAATGAAATAATCCATAAATACAACAATGAACAAATACAATTTTTTTATATATATTATATATATATATATATATATATATATATATATATATATATATATATATATATATATATATATATATCTAAAATTTCTTGACTCTAGTGGTATTTTAATAGTGTATATTTCAGTTAATGTAATATAATAAAATTATTGGCGATATATTAGTTTTATTCTCATGGTATTTCCCCATAATTCTTGTCAAGATCATATCGACTTTCATTAAAATGAGTTCATATATTTTTAGGTATCATAAAACATTATAAAAATTAAACTAACAAAACAAGGGCCCTTGTTTTGTGCAGTGGAATTTATTTTAATTCTAATCACTTAAAATCACTTTCAGTAATACTTATACATATACTATAATATCATTTATTTAATAACGACAATAATATTTATTAAAGCATATAAACCGGCTATAAAAACTAATAACGTTACTTGGTAACATAAACTTAATACCTACATGAATAGAACAGTAATATGTACATTAAGATATCAGTAATATTCATATATTAATTGAAATATTATAATATCACTTGACGAATATATTCATATTAACTAATACTGACAAATATCGGTATTACTACTAGCCAGCGTGACCAGATTTCATTTGACGAATCTACTGCTTGTGGAGGTTAAAATTTACTGAATTCTGCCAAAAGAGAACGAGAAAATACTAAAAATATATTTATTTTTTTGCGGTCGTATTACAACGTAAAAATATTAATGTTTTCTTGATTAAACGATAAAATAATAAAATAACAAAGAAACCACCATTCATTAAAGAAACTACCATTAATTAAAGAAACTAATGTTTTTTTTAAACATAAATTTTAAATAAAAATATAATTAAAAAAAATAAATAAAATGAAACTTAAAGTTAAGCTTCTTCATCTTCATGTTGGGTAACATTGTCATAAAGCTGTTTTAAGTCCATTAACTTGATCATACTTCTGTCAGAATCAAATCTGCTACATCCTCCTTCCAACTGTCGTAGCTCCTCTTTTCCATGTATTATTGCTGCAACATTCTTATTATTAAATCGATTTTTATCTTGATTTTTAATCCTATTAATATCGGAAAATATTCTTTCTACTTTGGCGTTTGACAAAGGTGGTATCGTCATTTGCTTCACAAATGGGGACAAATTGCCATACTTTGGTTTGCTATTCGCATCACAGATTTGGCTGACTTCACTCCAAAATTTATCCACCATAAAAGTTTCAGACGTCGAACTAGAAGTTGATAATAAATTAGACACGGAAACATCTAATTTTAATTCCCTATATTCATTGTCAACAATTTGCATGTTTTCGTTTGCAACTATGTTAGGAAACCTTTTGAGTATTCTTATCAGAGTTCGAAATTCACCATACACTGCTTTTTGGGGATTGATGAAGGACAAATCCTGCAAAAAATTATCTTGTACAGGCAGTCTGCAGAAATTGGTTACTCAGCTCGATCAAAAATGACTGACATCTGTTAAGAAATTCTTCAATTTTAGATCTCATTCGAAGATCATCTTTTAATGATTCCAATGTCATTGCTACGTTTGTGCCCAGGTACATGTAGGAAGGAAATGCATTCTTGAACTTGGATCTATTGACTGAAGTGGAGTAGTTTTTATATAATTTATCTTCATAAAACAACTCAAAATTGAACTCATCATGTTTTGTATGTCTGTTTCAATTTTATGAATAAGTGTCTGATCACTTTAAAAATAACGTAAAATTTTGTAGTTATGGGTAATATTAAATCTAAAAAGTAAAGATAAAGTTTTGTTTCATCGCTGTTAAGGTGATCAAATATAAATTGACAAGTAGCATTGGCATTATTATTCCCTAAAAACTCATTTTGAAAAAAGAAAGTTTTAATGCTGACCACTGCTCTATAATTCGGTGAATGCATTGATGTAGAGAAAGCCACCTGATGTCATAATGAAGAAGCATATGGTGGGTTGGAGTGTCAGTAAAATTTTGAAATTCGACAAAGTCTCTTTGTCGTTAGCTACTGTGAGAGAAGTATGAAAAAACATCTTTGACAAATAACTCTATAGAACGAATTAATTTTTTGCATGCATAACTCACTGAAAGGTTAGTTGAGTGGCAAATACACTTGAAAAAAATGCAATTTGGGTTGCCTTCTAGTCTAGTCTTCTCTGCCAGTATATCCACATGCTCAGAAAACGACTAATAAAATTGTGTTGCCTAGTCTATCATTATAGAAGCAACTTTTAAAAAAATAGCCTTTATCTATTGGAAAATGAAATTCAATTTGCTATGCCCACAGTAACGTTTATTCAATAATAAGGGAATCCCCGCAAATCACTTTTGTATGCTGCCAACTGTAAAATTAAAACTTTTTTGGACAAGCAACCAGCTTGGTTTCAAGCCTAATATTTTTTGACAGAGAATTAATACCAAAACCTACCGATATATTTCTCATTTCTACTAAATTCTACTAAGACATTTTATCCTACTAGATTATCATCTTATTTGCTTCAAATCTACTAAAAAAGTAGAAATCTACTAAAAATGGTCACGCTGCTATTAGCCCTCGGCCAGGGCCGTCGGCGACTGCCCGTTCCACGCCCGCGCGCCTCTCAAGGCCCCCGCACACATCCAGACACCCACATATAGCCGCAAGCGATTTTACGTGCACACATGCTTAATAGTGTCGTTTCTTTTCGCGTAGTGTATAATATATTCTTTGATAATAGGCAAATTATGAGTTAGGAATACCAAGCACACGCAAGAAAGAAACTAAGCAAGAAATTACCAAGCAAGAAACTAAGTAAGCGCCAAACAACATTTTTATTTTACTCAACAAAACTTCGTTATGGATAAAAAAATGGTTTATGAGAACTTAGTTATGATTATTTACTATGCTTTACGAATAAATTCTATGAATATATTCGTAAAAATATTGCGGTGTCATGAAGAAATGTAATTAATGCGAGCCAATTTTGTAATATTTTTTTATCGAGAAAATTACGTGATATCGTGTTTTCCTTGTATGCAATCCAAGGCCATATAGTTAAAAATGATATACCAAAATTTTGGTTTGTAATCTATAAAACATAAAAAAAATGTGAAATAGAACAACCACCTTTTCGAGGTTAACCTTAATAGGTTGTCATTAATAAATGAATGAATGAATTTATAAATATTAGGTATAGTAATTCTGTTTTTTTTTTAAATATATCTTACGAGTAGTTGCCGGAAGACGTACTTTGTATATATTTTCCGTGAATAGCTGACATGGAAACTGTAATGGACGACACACATGGTCAAGTTCAACTGATCATTCCAACTGATCAGTTCGAACTAGAATTGTTGATATTTTTTAAAATATCGGATTTTAAATATATCTATAATTATAAATATATCAATATCGGAGTTTTATATATAACTTTATTTATCGATATGCCGAAAATTCGGTATTTTAAAAAATATCAACAGTCCTAGTTTAAACTGATAATTTGGAATGATCAGTTGAACTGACCGTGTGTGTCGTCCATAATGTTTGTGCCCAGCGTACAGAATTAAAATAATTGAGGTTGAGGCAAAAGCGTGGAAAAATATAAGCTAAAGTCAAGAATTCATAAAATTTCATAATTTAAATGATTTTGTCTCACAACATCTCTCTCATTTCGAATGTATGCTTTTTTACAACTACCTATCTCTGTCGACAAATAACGTGTGCGAACTGCTGTGTTCCAGTCAGTAGTAATGTATATAGATTTTAGTATGTATTCGGAAAAGGCATTTCATCTTAGTCCTCAAATGTGACAATACATCTGTAACTTTCTTTGTTTGAAGTTGATGGCAGGTATCCATTGGCCGCACTACCACTTACCATCAGGTGAACTGTATCATTTGTCATTTCAAATTTACAAAAAAAAAAAATCTGCGTATAAAGAGATTGTTGATTGCACGGCAATTTGTTACCGTTCATTACGCTGATGCAGAATTCCGTCTGAAATAGCTTCATTAATCCCTACCTCTTTAACGCTGAATTTCGTTTAACCACGATCTTGCACGATTGATTGCTCCCTATGGTCCCTTTACATTCTTTTCTTGTAGTTTGTTTAAGCCAGTTTATTCTTATAAAAATATCATGTTGCAATATTGGAGTTTGCTTTCACTTTTTATGCTACTCGATATATTTTTTTTATTTTGTCAATATCGTAGAGTATTTAAAAATATATAGATAATGAAAATTAATTAGCTAACATTGGCGTAAAAAATAAAATGATTTCAGAAAATAAAACAAAGTAAGTAATTACTTACACATAAATAATTAGTATTTGTAAAAGTGTGTAAAGTTGATCAGTAAATTAACCAAGTTTTCATTCTACAATCATCTACGATAATAATAGAAAACTATAATCACGAACACTAACAGTAAACTATAAAATAAAATGGAAATAACATAATATTAATCTCCAGTGAACGCAATACGAGTATGTTTTGTTTGCGTTCATATTTTAACGTGTATGACTTTTATTGTAACCATTAAATTTAAATAAAATAAAATAAATTTAAGGAAAATATCTACTGAAAAAACCTTGGTTTTTCAGTAGATATTTTCCGAATCAGTGGTAAATAAAGAAAATGACTCTATGTTACTACTCAACTACGAGTATATCTATCAGAGAGAATCGAAGCCATAGTATTTTTCTTGCATTCCCCAGGTTAGGTTTTTGTTACTACACTCACTCAACGAAACGGTGTGCTGGATTGCCGTTACACTACAACTCAATATTTATATTAATTGAATATAAAACATTTTATTCTATTCAGAGCTCTCAAAAAATGCTCGACAGATGACACAGGGGCCTTTAAAATTCAGTTTGGCCTACTAGAGTCAAAGTTCATATTTTCTAGTGATTTTATTGATTTTTAGCGTCTCAAAGTCATCAATTTGTTAGTGTTACTAATATTATAATAATAATAATAAGGTTTATTTATTAAGGTATCAACCCACATTTGTTAAGTACTTTTTGCGTCAAAGACAATGAATTAGAGTATTATACACATACAAAATTATAAATTAAACTCTATTACGTGTTAAAATATAGTACTTTAAAACAATTTTTTTCATCACCTATAGCGTCCGATGCATACCCTGCCAGTGTTTATAAAATATATTGTCAGGAGACACCTGAGCAACGACCTTAACTAATTCATTTGTTGAGTTACGTACAGTTTCCCAGAAACTGGCCGTTCTACAACGTAACACTGCGTAAAAGTCTGGGACGGCAGCCTCTGCGAACATTGTGGACGCACTGCAGTACCGTGGATGTTTCAAAAAAATACGAAAAGCATCATTATACTGTACTCTTAGGATGTTATAGGATTTTTTGGTGTAATTTATCCAGAGTTGTCCGGTATAAAAGCTTTGAACAGAGTAATCTTAACATCCATAGAACACGAGGCAAAGTGACGCGCCAGCATGTTACAACGTATAACTAGAGCTCTACGTTCACGCTCAATATCCAAGTCGTCACTCAGGTTCTCCGACAACATATGACCCAAATACCTGAAATTCTTCACAGTCCGTACCTGCATACCATTTATGATTACTGGCGGTACTCTCCTCGGACCCTTTCCAGCACGAAAGACTAGCATTTCAGTCTTAGACTCATTATATTTTAATCCATGCTGACGAGCATAATTTTCGCAGATGAATATAAGCTTTCTAAGACCGTTGATCGATGGGCTAAGGAGCACCATATCGTCTGCGTAGCTAAGGTTGTTAAACGCTACACCATTAATGTGACATCCAATTTTGGTACTCCTAAGCTCCTCGATCAAGCCGTTAACGTAAAGATTGAAAAGGTCCGGAGAGGTCAGCCCTCCCTGACGTACCCCACATTCTAGTTTATAGCCTGTAGAAGTTGTGTCGTCCCACTTAACTTTATTTGTCTGGTTCTCATACCAGTATCTCAGCAAACCCAGAACAGTGCCAGGTACATTGGACTCATGCATTTTCCTCCATAATATATTATAATTAACAAGGTCAAATACACGACTCAAGTCCAGAAAGTAGGCGTAAACAAGTGTACTACGTCTTTTATAATAGTTTACAACGTGTTTAACGGACAGTATTGCAGAGTCGGCAGAAAGACGGGCACAAAACCCAAACTGAGCATCACTTATCCTAATATTTTTCACAAGTTCGGGCTGTAGAAGTTTTTCAAGTACTTTACCAACTATTGTGCCCAGAGAGATAGGGCGGTAATTGGAGATATTAGAGAAGTGAGCGGTTTTGTTCTAAACGACTGGTACAACAATCGTCTGTAAC